AGCCTCCCCGGTGGCTCTTCCAGGGTTCGGGTCCCTGTACTACCTCGCGGCCCAAGAGTGCCGTAACCCAGTTTTCCTCCGGTACCCTCACCTGTGTATTGGTGGTGGCGTGCTGACGGGGAGCCTGGACATTCCATCAATCATCAGTGGTGTACCAAGCTCCCCGCCTCGCCACCACATAGTGTGAGGTGTGGCGGAGTTGTGTCCGTACTGGGGCGCCATATCCAGTACGTGAGAATTTGAGTTCTCCCCAAGAACCTTCCTAGGGGCGGTAGCCCTAGGGTGTGTATAGTGTTTGTGTGCTTATGTCAGTATGTGTGTTTGTGTGTTTTGTATGTGGACGCAGTTTACCCTCGTGCCCGGGAGCAATTTGGTCTATTGTTGAGTGTCTTGCTCGGAATCCAAATTGGTGGTCAGGAATGATTTTCTTTTTTTCAACGATGTGTTTTATTCGTTTTAATAATAACTTTTCGAAGAGTTTAGACACTGTTGGTAGTAGCGATATTGGTCTATATGATTTGATCTCGTTCGCCGGTTTTCCTGTTTTTTTTATCATAATGACTTCTGCGAATTTCCAGATGCTGGGAACATATTTCAGTCTGATCGCAGCATTAAATAGGTATGTTAGTTTAACTATACCCTTTTTTGGCAATTGTTTTAGTATTTCTCCTGTGATAGGGTCATATCCTGGAGTCTTTTTAGCAGGTAAATTTTTAATTTCTCGTGCTACTTCTTTAGATGAGACTAGCTTTATATTTTCTTCTTGTGGCGTGGTTGTTACTTCAAGTAAGCTGATATAGATGATTTCATTTGGTTTGACGATTTCAGCAAGGTAACTAGCAAACAATTCGGTTTTTTCTCTGCAATCTCTCGCCCAAGTATCATCCTCTTTTTTTAATGGAGGAATTTGGGCGATTGGTCTTTTAATTTTTTATGGCCTTCCACAGTGAGTAGTCAGTGGCTTCGCCTGGAGTTAGGTCTTCTAGATAATTTGTGATTGAGTCGTCATGTAGTTTTTGAGCAATATTGTTAAGAATGTTTTTGTCTACAGGGTCTCTTGATTGTTGCCATCTTCTTCTTGCCCTTCTTTTTTGATTTATTAGTTCTTTAATTTCCTTGGGGTAGTTGAAGCCAATTGTTTTATGGATAGTCTGTCTAGTATTACACCATGCTGAAGTCAGAATGATTGAAGTGAACACCTCTGCTTCATTATCAAATTGTTCTTCCGTTTTTAGAGGAACATTAAGAACTGTTTTTGCATCCACGACTAAGGCAAAACTACTCCAGTCAGTAGTTATATTAACTAATGTTGGCTTGCATTGTTTTTTTATTATCTTTTCACTTATCGTCAGTATAACTGCTGAGTGATCAGAATTTAGATCAAAGATTTCTATTACTTTAATGAAGTTAGGAGAAACTTTTTGGTAATAAAAAAGTCTAAGAGATCAGGTATTTTGTTGCAGTCTGTTGGCCAGTAGGTTGGTTTCCCTGTAGAATGATAGACGCACTCTCGCGTAGCTTTCCTTAGTTCGCGGCCTTTGATGTTAGTCAGTCTGCATCTCCAGTCGACATGTTTACCGTTGAAATCATCGCCTACTATGAACCTTTCGCCTAGGTACTCTAGGAGTCTCGATATATATATATATATATATATATATATATACACTCACACATACATACATAAAGGTTGAGTGAATGATTGAGTGATAGAGGGAGAGTGTTGAGAGTGAGTGGGAATGTGAGTGTATATTTTTGAGCATACCTGAGAGAGAGTTAGAGGTGTGAGTAAATGTGTGAGAGAGAGAACTTGAGAGGAATGAGTGAGAATGAGAGCCAGTTAGTGAGAGATGTTGAGTGAGAAGTGAGAGAAAAGTGAGTAACCGTTATTACGTCGTGATTATTTTTCATGTTTTCACTATCGTTGGCAGATATTTCACCATGTCTCATTGAGTTTATTCATTTTGTATTTTTGGTTGTATTTAAATAATATTAACTTAGCCCATTTTTACGCATTGTTTCCATTGTAACAATCGTTTTTAAACATGTGAATAAACAAGGAGAATTGTTCGCGAATACTGCTAATTGTAAGCCATCTACGAACAGTACACATACATATTTTCCGTCTCAGCAATAAGAAGGTCGAACTATTTAAAAGTGAAAACGTCGTCTCGAGTTTCCACTAGATAAGTGAAACTTGGGAAGTGAGTCAGCATTTTCTTTTCCCTTGGAGCTTTTCGCCCCACTCCCTTCCCACACACCAGTCTGCCTTATACGCTAGATTTAACAGTAGGGAAGAAGTTACATCTCTGTGTCAGTTGCGCGTAAGTGATCTTATACACGGCTGTGTCAAGTCCTTTTACTTTTTGCGGTTTCTCGTCAACTGCGTTTGATGAACATTTACCCAACATCAATATTATATCCAATGTTATGATAAAAAATCTATTCAGCGGCGATACCACAGAAAATTTATTGGCAATCGTAGGCCTGATTTCTTTGTAATATATATGGTATTTTACACAAATATTTGGTCAAAACTTTGTTACTGCATGATTAAACAGAATAAAATTAAAGAATATATTTCACCCATTAGGGTTTACTGTTACGAGGTCAAATGTTAAGACCATATAAATAAATTTCCGAAGTATTATTCAGTCTTCAACATTGTAATTACATCTTTCAATTATTTATTCTTTTTATGTATGGTCTTGGCTGAAATGAAACGACCTTCGGCTCGGTTCGAATACCGCTCGTGACTCTAACTTTTCCATTTCAACCAAGACCTTACACAAAAATAATAATTAATTGAAAGAAGTAATTTGGTCAATTCGACCATTAATCATAATGGATTATAATTATTTATTAAAATTCTCTCCAAAATAAGGAAATTGAGAACAAAAACACTCCTTTTTTCGGTTGTGCTAGGAAAGAATCAATAGAAAGAAGAGAGAGAGAAAGAGAGAGAGAGAGAGAGAGTGAGAGAGAGAGAAAGAGAATTAGAATGAATAAATAAATATCGTTTTTTAAAAAGATGGTAGGGGAGATGGAGAGATTTTAGGTCGCGAAAGCCCTCTCTTAGAATTAACATGAACAGTAGAGAGAAAATGAGACATAGAGAGCGACAAAAAGAGAGAGATGGTGACAAAATAACGAATGAGTGTTTGCATGAGTAAAGCGAGTGTGTGATTGAGAAAGAGCGTGAATCAGTGAGTAAATAAATAAGCGAGCGATAAGAAATAAGAAATACAAGGTAGATAGTTGATTGGTGAGTTGGTGGATCGGTGAGCGAAAGAAAACAAGAATGAATGAAAATGTAGAGAGACATAAGATATAGAGTAAAGTGAGAGGGAGTGAGAGAGAGAGAGAGAGAGAGAGAAAGAAAGAGGGAGGGAGTGAGAGAAAGAGAGAGATATAGATAGATAAGTAGATAGATAGACAGATAGATAGGTATATAGAGGGAGAGAGAGAGAAAGCGAAAAAGAGAGAAAGGGTGTGAGTGAATTACTGAGTGAGATCTGAGAGGGAGTGAGAAAGTGGGTAATGGTGTGAGAAAGAGAAACAACCACTGAAGTATCTCCATTAATCTACCATCATTGTCCATAAACAATCAAAACAAAAAATCATAAAGAACTCAGTAAAATCATTTATGTTTTACACTAACATAATATTTTGTGTAGATTTGAAACTCAACCTAGTCAGTCTGAAAGAAGTCTGAAAAAGAAAAAATGGATATATATTCTATTTAGAAAGTAAAGCTATTAAAGATGTTACAAAGTATTGGCAATATGCAATTTGTCTGGAGTTTACCGTTTTCCTTAGTACCACAATTAAGAGAAGACCAAAACCGCACTGCGTTGAGTAACGTTCAACGTTATTTTATATCGTGTGTAACACGTGTTAATTATGTCTTTTTAAAAGTAATGCAAACTATTTAACCGGGTTTTAACTTTTTGATTGCTGTAACATAAAAGTCCCCTAAAGAAACCAAGGGTTATAATATAAAGTAATGTTGCTGGCGTTGGGAAAACCTTTAGGGAGTTGAACTAAAAAAATGTTAATCCTCATGAGATCGGATTAAAAATTTAGCGGCAACCTCGGGAAACAACTTTAAGTGTTCCGGAACACTTTAGATCTGTCGTTAAGGTATCTATACACATGCGTTGTATACACAATATGTTATATATCTCATAAAAAGTAACGCGCCTTCATTTCTCTCTTGTTCCTAAGAAATTGTTATTTTTATCAGCACGGAAAGAAGCCTTCTACCAGAAGATTTTAGTTTATTTTAACGATTTTATTGACATATGTCGATAAGGTGTTATGTAGTTGTGTTCTTAGATTTGTAATTAATTGCAAGTTTTTAATAACCAATTTGTAAGTAAGGTTAACATTTAAGGGTATGGGTAAGTATTACTGTTTTATTGAACGACTACCTCATTTAAATAAAGATTTCATAAAAAATATACTAAATTAACTCTGTATTTAAAATTCATTATTTAAACATCAGAACAAATTTGATTTGTGAAAATAATTTTAATCATTATTCATGACAGTGTTTTGACTATGGTAATCTCGTGCAGATCTATTGTATAATATCGTTTTTATAAGTCTTTTGCTGCATGCTGGTTTTTTTCAATTTTTATATGTATTTCCATCATATTGAAGATATCATTAGTGTTAATCAGCGTTTCCCAGACGATATCGTATGTATTTCAGTTTTCCATACATCAAATGTCTACTTTTCAAGGCCAAATCGAATGAGAATTTATTGTATATCGTATTTTAGTAAAAAGGGGACATCCGTTGTTTCACTAGATCGAGAGTTTGTGAACACTAAACGGGCCGAAAGCTGTTTGAAGCCGTTGTTCGGTAATGGCCTCTCCCATTACCAGTGAAATTTACACGAATCCCCTCCTCTTCAAAGCTTCCGAAGCCGGCCCCTTTGTCCACTAAATAATATATATCGGACGGTATTGATTGCTTAATGTATTTTATTGTTTCAGCGCTCACGGAAGGGCCAAAATTCGCAGAGCCCATACCCAACGTAACCGTAGCACTGGGAAGGGACGCTTCACTTCCTTGCGTCGTGGACAACCTTGGAAACTACAAGGTAAAAAATGATCAATTATTAACTAGTTCAAATTAACCTAATTGTATTTTTATAAATGTGAACAACTGTTTTGGAAGACAGCTACATTGCCACATATAAACATTTAATTCTAGTAGCAGAACAATTTAAAAAAAATCATTACTGAGAGAGAAAGAGAAAGAGAGAGAAAGAGAGAGAGAGAGAGAGAGAGAGAGAGAGGGAGAGAGAGAGAGAGAGAGTAAACTAATAAGTGAGAGAATTAATCAGTGAGTGAGTGAGTAAATGTGTGAGTAAGGAGTAAATATGTAAGTAGGTAAAGAGATAGACAGATAGAGATAAATAGACGGATAGGTAGATAGAGATAGATAAATAGATCGGTAAACATAAATTGATGGGGAAATAGATACAGATAGATAAATAGATAGATAGAGATAGATCTATAGATAGAGATATAAAGATGGGTAGAGAAATAGATAGATAGAAAGAGAGAGAGATAGATAGAGATAGATAGATAGATAGAGAGAGAGAGAGAGAGAGAGAGAGAGAGAGAGAGTGAGAGAGAGAAAGAAGAGACAGTGTGAGAGGGAGAAAATGTAAAAGACAGAATTGTAAGAAAGGAGAATGAGAGTGAGAGATAATAGGGAATGAGAGTGAATGTACAAGTGAGAAAGGGCGTGAACAAATGAGAGAGAGAGAGAGAGAGAGAGAGAGAGAGAGCGAGAGAAAGAAGAAAGAGTGTGGGAGAGAGAAAATGAAAAAGGGAGAATTGTAAGAAAGGAGAAAGAGAGTGAGAGATAATGAGGGAATGAGAGTGAATGAACAAGTGAGAAAGGGCGGGAGCGATTGAGAGAGAGAGAGAGAGAGAGAGAGAGAGAGAGAGAGAGAGAGAGAGAGAGAGAGAAAGAAGAAACAGCGTAAGAGAGAGAAAATTAAAAAGAGAGAATTGTAAGAAAGGAGAAAGAGAGGGAGAGATAATGAGGAAATGAGAGTAAATGAACAAGTGAGAAAGGGCGTGAGCGAGTGAGAGAGAGAGAGAGAGAAAGAAGAAACAATGTGAGATGGAGAAAATGAAAAAGTGAATTGTAAGAAAGGAGAAAGATAGTGAGAGATAATGAGGAAATGAGAGTGAATGAACAAGTGAGAAAGGGCGTGAGTGAGTGAGAGCATGGGAATTGGAAAGAGTTTGAGTGAGTGAACAATTTTTAGAGATTATGAGTGACAGTGAAAGAGATTGAGTGCTTGGGACAGTGAGTGACAGTGAGTAAAATTGGGAGAGTGTTGAGTGAGACTGAGTCAGTATTTGAGAGAGTGTGAGTGAGTGAATGTGTCATTGAAAAAATACAACAACCTATTTTATTGTTTTACAAATCGTAACATGATTTTAATTTTCGATCTTAACTTAAAGGCATCTCCAGACATGCTCTTCGCCGAATCCCGACTAGTGTGGAGGGACGCTCGGCCATTCGTCGAATAACAACATCCAGTGCTCTCCGTGCTCGGCTTTTTGTCGGTTTTCCTGTCCGCTTCAAAGGGCATGAATATTCGTGAAGTAATCGCAGTCAAATCATCCACACATTCGGGAATGAACTATAACTGCACATACGTTTAACCTACTGTCAACTGTTATCAAAATCAATATTAAGCGCATTCTTCTATTTAATACTATTTATTTTTCATTAATAAACGATTGCTAACTATTATAGGTGTTTTAATTTACACAATAACAATTGTTTTTTCTTATTAGGAATAGATTGACCCAATGCAACAGTTTTGGAGTTCCTCTATGTTTACGGAACAAAACCAATAATTTGGAAAGCTTCTCTTACAAATCATAAATTGTTTTATAAATAAAGCAACAATTAAAAATATAAAAAATATAATTAAATGTATTTTTTTCAATTAGTTTGTTGCCACTGCACAAAATAGTAACCGCAGCTGCAGCAATGACAGTTTCATTGTTGCCCATCACGATTTGTAGTAAGTTGAGGACTCCAACAGCATTTGGAAAATACGTATTCCCTGTTTCCGCAACAACTAGGAAGTTATACAAAACCCGCATGTGTGTATACGTAGGCTATTTCGCGAATTCCAAGACGAGTATTTAGAGACTTGGCAAATATTCGGCGGCAATCGGCATTCGGCGAATACCGCATGTCTGGAGCCGCCTTAACACAAGATAGCAACAAATAGTGTTCAACTATACAAAAAGTATAGTCATAGACGAGTGAGAGTCTTAGACTACCCGATGCATGTCGAATAGTCAAAATGTTTTAAAATACCTATCTCAAACTAAGGCTGATTAAATATGCATGGACTCCGCCAAGATTCGAACCCAGTACTGGCAACTATGAGTTGAACTATAAAAAATGTAAAATTAATAGTCCTTATATGTCACATAAACCAATAACCTTTATCTTAGTCCTTATGAAAATTTGTTTTATAAAAAAAATGTTTAATTTTGATTGTGTGAAATCAATTAGGTCAAGATTAACTTCACTAACATTTTGACAGACATTAAAAAAATTTGTATAAGTTAAAATATGTAATACGTTGTTTAACTGAACTGGAGTTTATGGCCATCTAAATTAGCTAATCTCAAAAATATAGTTATTACAGCTAACCAAGAATTCGAAAAGGATCCCCGAGGGCAGGGTGTAATCTGCATCCTTTGCAATATTAACCGTTACACTTCCTGCCCACGTCATCTAGTTTGCATCGACCATCCCCCAAAAACAACCTGGGCTAATGAACTGTGTATTCTTTAAATTTACATTAGCTTATGAATATAAAACTGGGATCAGCCGGGCGTAGACTCTGACCAGACACTGTTCACTTTGGACTGGAAATCTTCTGCTCGCAATGCTGGAAGTGTCGGACATAAAAATACCATTAATTTGTGACGACGTACAAAATATGAATAATGTTAATTTATTTGTATTTATGTTTTTTTCCTTTGTTTATTGCCGAAGATGGTTTGAGAATCTGTTATGCTTTTATATATCATAAATAGGTATCTCAGAACAGGTTATTCAGTTTTATACATCTGTTAACTATTCCATGAAATACATAGGTATGTGTAAAGTTCGAACAAATGTTGTTCATATTTAGATAAAGAAGGATATTGGTAGGCAATCAAGAAGTCAGAGCGGAAGTAGCTGGTTATTTTCCGAATAATGCCTATTGGCTGTATCCGGAACGCTCGAAAATTAATGGTAGGTCGGAATGTGACTGTTATGAATTTTATACTTTCGTCTTCCGGATTGGGTTTTGTACTGTATAGCGAAAAGAAGGAATGTGGAGGAATGGAAACGTTGGTATAAGGAAATGGTTCGGTCTATAGAGGGACGCTCCCCAACGTATCATTGCAAGCAAGGTTTTCTGAAAGTAGTGTTAATAAAATAAAAAAAACGAGTAGGAAAGCAAGTAGGTTAAAATCTAACCACGGAATATGTAAATCATATCTAAAGAAAATCGATGGTGTGAATGTGGCGAAGAGGAAACTTTGGAACACATCTTAATGGTATGACCAAAGTATACTCAGCAAACGGAAGATATATTTCACGAAGTAAACTCAAAAATTAACTCACTAATTTCGTGGTCCGCTTGACCAATTAATATATTACAATTAATTAAGGTTTTTAGTTGAGATAAAAAAGTGAATGGCACGAGTGGGATTCGAACGATCTTCGGCTAGATACGCCGCTGCTCTACCACCTGAGCTATCGTGACCTCGATCCACTCGGACACTAACTTCCCATCTCAACCCCATCTTTTGAGTTTTCCCTCCTTTTTGCCATTTTTCAAATGTCGTGTAATCGGATTGGATTCTCGGCGACAAATTCATTTCAAATTTTAAATTTAATTTTTAATAATTTTTAATTTTTTAAATTTTTAATTCAAAAATTAACAATAGGACGGTCCATTAAGTCAGTATATTGAAGTCTTAATCATTGGATTGGCACAACTGTAAACTTTTAAAAAATATCTAAAAGGATATAAAAACTATATGAAAAATTAATTGATATGGGCAACTGATGCAAAAACACCTATTACATGAATTTTATTTTATTGCATTAAACTTCAAAATATTATTATAACTACTTTTTGTTTCTAAAATATTTAAATTTACTTTTTTTACTAGATGAGACAAAATTAAACAAGTTTGATTTGTTGTTGATTTCTTTTCTTCTGTTCTTTCTGATCAATATTATTTACTCAGCAATTTAACTTCATTAAAAAGTTGAATGAATTGTGCTGAATTGCTAAAATGGAAAAAACAGAAAAGAGTAGAATGATAATTTTTTAAAAATTGTACAATAAGAATGCAACATTAATATTCTCAGTAATATTAACTATTGTTATTTTTGATGGTAGGTATTGATCTACGAGTCGGTGAATGCTTGCTGAACCGGCACTGGATTCAAGAAACAGACGGTTCCTCACTGAAGATGACACAAAGCCGAAATGTTTGAGTAACGTCAAAGACCAGCGAGTGTAGACAGGCCCAGTATGTTACCCAGTGCCGGTCCAACTTGCATTGTTATTTTCATTTATATTTATAAATTTTGCAAAATTAAAACATAAAAGGAAAGATTATTTTATATAGGAAGGATGGATTTTAAATTACAATTTAAAGTAAATTACCAAAAAGTAAAGAAATATGCACAATATATTAGAATAAAATGTACAGCAGTTGGTTTCATTAGATTTACCACAGCATAACTCAGAAATAAATTGTCACATTTGTCAATTAAAGGATTATAAACATCTTAAATAATTTCGTTGCTAATTTACCCTCGGAAGGTCGAAAATGTCAGGGATAATAAAACTTTATCATGGATGAAATAAAAATTTCACGAATTTCCGTAATTTGCTGCAAATTACTTCTAGTAGGGTTTTTATCGCCGGGCCTCTAAATATTTTAATATGGGGTAGGGCGGAGGCAATTTTGGGGAGTAGGGGTGAATTAGTTAACTAAGATACGTTATTCTTTAGGATTACTGTCAGGGTGAAATAAATTC